AGGTAGCATGTATGGACAGAGGAAGCTGTGTCAAAACCAGGGAGAAGTGCCGGGGCCCTGCTGCAGAGCCCTTAAAAATGTCTCTCTCCATGAGGAAGGCCTCTTTTGTTTCAGACCTGCCCTCCCCGCCCCGCCCCCGCCAAATTAATTAAATAATCATTCCCAGGGAACTCTGATAGCTGGGATTGGTTTTTAGTGGTAGAAAAAAGTTCTCAGCAGTGAGAGCTCTTAAACATTAGGATGGTTTATTAGTGGCAGCTTTAGAAAATCTTTTCCTAGATAGTTTTATGCATAAAAGAGACATACCACTTGTCCATGATTTTCTGTGGCCTCTCTTAAAACCATGAGAATGTACTAGACAAACTGCCCAAGTCTATGTTGTTGGATTCAACTTAACAAATATTTGAGTGTTGACTGGTACATGGCCCTGGTTATTGCTGTGACTGAATTCATGCCATCTCTCCCTGCTCTCACTCTGCCTCTCTTCCGGTGGTCCCCACTTCAACAAATGACACTTCCAGCCACACAGTTGCCCAAGTCAGAAACCTATGAATAATCTCTGCGTCCTCATTCTCCCTCACCCCTCACTTTGAGTTAATCCCCAGTCCCTATCATTGTACCTCCAAATATGCCTCTGGAATTTGTCTACTTCTTTCCCATCCCCCATCCCAGCTGCAGTCACTAGCATTTCCCATGTGGATTACTGCAATAGTCCAAATGATCTCTGTGCTGCCAAGCGGGGCCTTCTCCCATCTATTTAACTTGCATGGTCTTTCTGAAATGTAAAGCTGAAAGCATTTTACTCTCCCACTTAACATGTCTTCAGTGGGCTCCTAGGCTTATGGGAGAGGCGGGAGGTATGCACTGTGAGCCAGACTGCTTCAGTCTTCCTGTGTGCTTGAATTCCAGCTCGGCTGCTTTCCTACTTACTTGGCCTTTAGCTAGTTACTTAAGCGCCCACTGCAGTTTTCTCATCTATAAAAAGGGATCCTAAGTAATTCATTTTAGGATAGTTGGGTGGATTGAATGAATCTGGATCTTCCTCTCTTCTATGAACTCTTTTAAAAAAGATTTTATTTAGTTATTTTTAGAGAGAAGGAGAAGGAAGAAGTGAGAGAAACATCTATCAGTTCACCCCAACTGGGAACTGAACCCTCAACCCAGGCATGTGCCCTGACTGGAAATCAAACTAGTGACTCTTCACTTTGAGGGATGATGTTTAACCAACTGAGCCACACAGATCGGGAGTCTTCTATGGACTCTTTAATTTGGAGTGCTCTGGGCTCTGGTTCTCTTCTCTCTCTGTGCTCACTCCCTTAGTCATTTCAACTGTCCTGTGGCTTTAAATATCCATATGCTGATAACTCCCAAATTTACATCTCCAGCTCAGGCCTCTCTTCTGATCCCTAGACTCGTATATGTCCAGGTGCCTTCTCAAACTGCCACTTGGACGGCTAATAGAACTATCGATATATTAAACTTAATATGTTCAAAACTAAACTCCTGATTTTTTTCCTTCAGACCTGCTCCATCGTAGTCCTTTTCATCTGAGCTGATGGAGCCAGATGGTCAGGTTCAGTGGTCTCTCACTTTTCTCTTGTTCTCCTTCCCCGCATTCCATCCCATCAGGAAATCCGCTGGCTCCTGTTCAGGTTATATTTAGAATCTGACTCCTCTCTCCACTTCCTGGCCACACCCTGGTCCAAGCCGATGTCTCTCACCTAGATTACTACAGCATATTTCTAACTGGTCTCTTTCTACCCTGGCTCATCAACAGTCTCTTTTCAGCCCACCACATTGATAAATCAGATCTTGTCATTCCTTTGTTCAAAACCTCCATTGGATCCCATTTCAAAAGCACTACAAGCCAAAATCTTTAAAATAGATTTCAAGACCCCGTGTAATCTGGTCCCCACCTTCAATCCTGTAACCTCTTCTTTACCCATTACTCATTTTACACCAGCTACAATATCATCCTTACTGCTCCTGGGACTCCCCAAGTGCACTATGGTTTTAAGGCCTTTGCTCTACCTGTTCCCTTTACTGGGATGCCCTTCCCTCAGACATTACTGTAGCTAACTCCGTCTCCTTCAAGTCTTTCCTCAAATATTTCTTCTCAATGAGACTCACTCTTGCTACCCTTTAAAAAACTATAACTTGCATTCTAGTTCCATGATGCTCTAGATCTCTCTTCTGTTTTTTCCATTGCACTTACCATATTCTAAAACATTTCCTATAGTATATTTATTAGGCTTATTGATTGTTTACATTCTAGTGAGGTAATAGATAACAATAACAGTTGTTAACTCACCAGAATGTAAACTCACTAGGGCAAGGATTTCTGTCTTATGTTCACTGGTGTCATGTGTCCAAACACCATAATAATGCCTGGTACATAGTAGGACTCACTAAATATTTAAAGAATGAATGGACAGTGCATGGCATATAGTGTTTTATAACTGTTAACAATTATCACAAAGCTCACAGCCATCTGGCTCCTACCTGTCCTACTAATCTTATTTTAGGAAAAGAAGAGGAAGTCTGTACTCCTTCTACCATTATAACTCAGCTATAGTTCACTCTCTCATCTCCTGAGCTCTCTACATGTGCTCTTCTCTCTGTCCTTCCATGCTAATGGAATCTGTAGTCATCTTTTTGATTTCAGTTTAGGAGGACTTCCTTGACTCTAGGTCAGCCCCCTCTTCCCTCATCCCCATCGTGTGCTCCTGGCTTATCACACTGTTTAGTAAGTACTTGCTTCTCACTTGTCTTCCCAGCTAGGCTCTGTGACAACAGAGACTATGTCTGTGATATTAGTCATTGCAGCATCCCCAGCACTAGGCTTGATACATGGGAGGATCTCAGTGCATTTTAACTCAGTGAATGAGAAATGTCCACAGCAGTCACTGCATTTCTGCACCTTACGCACATTGCTTCACAATCATTTTTAATTGTATCCTATGCTGCTTCTTAGGTAGTAATAATCACTAACACTTTTCTTTCTTTTTAAAAAATAATTTAAAATTTTTTCAATTACAGATGACATACATTACTAAATTAGTTTCAGGTGTACACCCCAGTGATTAGACATTATATAACTTAATAAGTGATCATCCTGATAAATCTTGTACTCATCTGACATCATACATAGTTATTAGAATACTATTGACTATATTCCCTATGCTGTACTTCACTTCCCCATCACTATTCTGTAACAACCAATTTGTATTTTTTCATCCCTTCACCTTTTTCACGCATCTGCCCCACCCCCCTCCCATCTGGCAACCATCAAAATGTTCTCTGTAACTGTGAATCTGTTTCTGCTCAGTTTGTTCATTTTGTTTTCTAGATTCAATTGTTGATAGATATATATTTATTGCCATTTTATTGTTTGTATATTTTATCTGTTTTTTCTTCTTAAAGAAGACCCTTTAACATTTCATATAAAACTGGTTTGGCGGAGGAAATTGACATACAAGTCTAGGAAGCACAGAGAGTCCCAAACAAGATGAACCCAAAGAGGCCCACACCAAGACATATCATAATTAAAATGCCAAAGGTTAAAGGCAAAGAGAGAATCTTAAAAGCAGAAAGAGAAAAACAGTTACCTACAAGGGAACTCCCATAATACTGTCAGTCGATTTCTCAACAGAAACTTTGCAGACAAGAAGGTATTAGAAACAAATATTCAAAGTGATGAAAAGCAAGGACCTATGACTAAGATTACCCAGCAAAGCTGTCATTTAGAATTGAAGGAAAGCTAAAGAGCTTTTCAGACACGAAAAGCTGTAGTTGTTAATTGCTAACATTTTTCTAACTTAGCAACAACTTTCCAAAGTTACTACTATTCATATCCTTATTTGAGAAGTGAGAGGTTTGAAGTTTAGAGAAATTAAGATGCTTTCTCAAGGTAACACAGCTGGTGAGTGCTAGAGCACTTCAAACTCAGGAGGTCTGACACCAGAACCCCTAAGGTTGCTTACAGGATGCACATCATTCAGCCATTTTGATTTGGGGTTTTCTCTTTTATTTAGTTCAAAATTAGTCTACTATCTGACCTTAGCTAGTATGGTAGAGAACAATCCACACCACCTTCGATAGACATTTATCATGGTCCTGGGTAAGGAGCAGCTGCTGCTCATGCTCCATTTTACCAACGTGAAAGGTATAGCAAAATCAGGGCGACAGCCTTGTAGTCTAGGCAAGTATCATTACCACCATCACCACAGTTTACCATTTTATTGAATACCAAGGCAAACACGTTCCATACATCTCATTTGATAACTAATTTTTCACTTAATCGAAGTTGAACCTAGTCTTCTGACTTCTATTTCATGCTTTTCTGGATCACAATGACTTCAATCACTTAAATATTAGTATTAAAGTCATTAGTGCTCCACCGCAATTTGGAGAGATACTGGCCTAGCGCCACATTTTCAGGTCTGGGAACTGAGATTCTGAAAGGTAAAGTACCTTGCCCACGGTCAAGCAGGTGGTGGCCCAGTTGGGAATGGAGGAAGCCTCCCGAATCTAGGTCCAGAGGTCAGGATAACAGGCAATAGTGCCCATCACCTTTTCTTTACCCAATGCACATAAATGAAGGGGCATCATGCTTCTTTTTAAAATGCACTTATCTAATGGAGAGTACTTATTACTGTTCATGGTATATCATCCATGATAAAGCTATTCGATAAACCATGCCCTGGAAATAACAGTCTTTAAGCATCCTTTCCAGGCACATTCCGCGGTTAGGCAGGTGACAGTGACAATCGGTCAGGCTTGTTGTGACTGGCGGCCATCGACTGTCCACGACAGCCAATCAGAGCTTGGAGCCACTGAGCTGCACCAGTTGAAGATTAACGAAACCTCAACAAGGGCCGACTGGGGGCTTAAGTCGGAGAACCGAGTGATCCCGAACAGCGATCAGTCAGAAGGGAGGAGCGGATCACTGACGCCCAGTCCCTCGCTTTCAGACCTTGGTCGCTGGCGCAACGCCCACAGGACGGCCAATCAGCGGGCGCGCGGCGACATGCCCGAGAGCCGCGGGGTTGGGGGGCGATGAGGAGGCGGGGTCTGTCCGCGCAGCTGAAAGGTGGGTGCTGCGAAGAGCAAGGCCGGGTGAGGCGGTCTGGCGACCTGGGTCCGCGAAGGGAATGGCTCGCGCTCGCAGCCGACCGGGTTGGGGAGTGGGGCGCGCGCGGGGTGAGCGGGGGCGCGCACGGGCTGCGGCAGGGTCACGAGATGCCACTAGGCTGAACCTACGCGCAGCGGGAAGCGGTGGGGAGAGGTTGGGGACCGAGTACCGGGCTGCGGAGGTGGCCCCCTCCGAGCTGGTGGCTGAGGGAAGAGGGGATACTGTTGCCATGGCAACGCATGTGTGCAGACTGGTGACTCTTCACCTTTCGAGTGTGCACGCACCTTAAACCCGCCCCCTTGTCCACCCTGGTCTCAAACGATGTCAATCACCTACGGCTCACAGGCGGCTGGGCCGGGCTGGGCTGGGACCAGCGCAGAAATAACCTACTTCGGCAGCTTTATCCGCATCCACGACCTAGCTAGTCTCAGCTTTCCCTCCCTCCCTCTGTCTTGTCCACTGGCAGAGATATTAAGCTCGCGCTGGGGCACTGGGTACAACAGGCCTTTGCGGTTGTGCCAGTTCGCAGAATGGACATTGGGTACAGTGCAGCTGCCTCATCCCGGGAACCGGTACCGTAGAGATGCTGTCTCCTGAGGGACCAGGGGTATCCCCCAGAGGGATTTTTTTTCTCTTTTTTCTTTTTATTGATTCTAGAGAGAGGGTAGAGGAGGGAGAAAGAGAGGGAGAGAAGAATCGATGCATTGCCTCTTGCATGCTTCCTGACTAGGGACTAAACCCAGGCATGTGTCCTCACTGGGGATTGAACCTATGGCCAGAGACAGAGGGACTTTTTTCTTTTTTTAAAGGCAGCCAACACAGAGCCTGTGCATAACAAATACTTAGAGAATGCGTATTGACTGACTGAATAAAGACCACAATGACAGCTTTCCATTCCATGGACCGGCGCTGCCCAATAGAAATATAATGCGAGCCACATACCATATACTAATTTTACATTTTCAAGTAACCACATTTAAAAAAAGTAAAAAAACAGGTTAAGTAAATTTTAATGTATCTTATTTAACCCGATGTATCTAAAATGTCAAAATTAAATGGATATTAATTTAATTTATCAATATTAAATTATTGGTAAGAGATCTTAAATTTCATTTTCATACAAATCCCTCAAAACCTGGTGTGTATCTCACACTTACAGAACATCTCAGTTTGGGCCAGCCACATTTTAAGTGCTCATTGGCCATATTTGGCTAATGGCTACCGTATGAGACTGTACTACTATAAACATATATGTGTGTGAGTTGTGACCAAATACATGGAACTCATTAATATTCTTTGAAGCCCTCTTATATGAAAGAGGACACTGTGCAGTGAGGTAACAAAAAATATGAAGCGTGGTCTTTTTTCTCAGGAGCTTAAAGTCCAGCTGGGAAAAATACACCTCCAAAGATTAAGTTGAATTTTAAATGCACACGAGTAAGGAAAGATTGGCAAACAAGATGGATGATAATTATCCTTAGGAATTCTAGGGAGGGATATTTCAGGCTCATGCCATAGAAGAAGACTTGAATCTAATCTCGAAGGATGGGTAGCACTTGGACTGCTGGAAAAGATGGAGAAGGTGTTTTGGTTCAGTGGAACTGATCATAACTTCTTTTGTTTTTAGGGTTGAAAATTTGTTGAGTCCTGAGGTGTTCAAACTGAAAAAGACTTTCCTCTCTCACTGGCAATCTCCACCATGATTCATAGCCTTTTCTTGATCAACTCCTCTGGAGATATTTTCCTGGAGAAACATTGGAAAAGTGTGGTCAGCCGTTCTGTTTGTGATTACTTTTTTGAGGCACAAGAGAGAGCAACTGAGGCAGAAAACGTACCACCAGTCATCCCTACCCCTCACCACTATCTCTTAAGTGTATACCGGCACAAGATCTTTTTTGTGGCTGTGATCCAAACAGAGGTCCCACCGTTATTTGTCATCGAGTTCCTTCACCGAGTAGTGGACACATTTCAGGTGCGTGAACGTGAGGGGATTCATACATGTAAATGATGTATCTTTCTTATTCTGTTTCTATTGTATTCAGTCTCAATTAAGGAACTTTTTAAAAAATTGAAACTGACATTGCTCACTTCCTCTCCTATCTGATAAGATTCTACTTATTGAATTGGCTGCCTCTAGAATGATGAATTGAGTACTTTTGAACCTCTGGCATGAGAAAGCCACCCTATTCGGTATGATTGTGTGTGGTCACTTTAGTTCTGGAGATTGGAATTGTCTTACATTTTGTTCACAAATCAGAGGACTTTTGTTTTTTAATAGTGGACCTGATGCTGACCATTGTTAATTACATTGCTTTGAGTGCATCAAAAAGTGATCAGTGTGTGTGTGTGTGTGTGTGTGTGTGTGTGTGTGTGTGTGTATTTTAAAAGTAGAAAAGCTAAGTTAGGCTTGTTTTCACTCTCCCTGGCAGGGGTAATTTGCAAACCAGTACTTCATCCTGGGTTTGCGGTGCTTATCCCCAGCACAGGAGCTCGTTGTTGCCAATTTAAGATTGAAAAATCTTCTGGACCCCAAAGAATTTGAGTAACACATTTTACAAGATACAGTTTTCATTCTGAGTTTTGCTTTCAGGGATAGATTTGAAGGTCTTAGGGAGCAGGAGGTCGGCACCATTTATAGCACAAGATTTTAGGCTGTCCAGAGTCTTGATTTCGACAGTGGAATCCCCTCCTAAAAGACTTGCTCAGCTCCTAACTGTTGTGGTAGTTGTATAACTCAGAGGATAAATGAGAATCAGGGGCTCTTTGGTTCAACTTCGATGTCATGTGAGGTCTGGAATTAATCACATGAATACAGAAATTGTGGAACTGAAGAAGAGGAGAAGGAGGACCTACATGTTACGATAAATATTGAAAAACAAGTCAAAGGGTCCTTTCATTTGCACTTATATCAAGATCACATGTCTGGAACAGCTTTGATGCCAAAGGAATTATATTTTATAATTTTCCCACAGATACTCTGTGGTAGTATTATTCTGGGATTCCAGTCTCATGGGGCATATGGTTCCTTCACGCAGTGAAAACCTGAGACTTAAGAAGCCCAGTATGTGGAGGAACTATAAGTGAGAGAAGCCAGTAGTTATGAACTTACACCACTCTAACTGGGCCCTGTTATGATTTCCACATATGACTTTTTATCCCATTCTAAGATTAACAGTCACATTGGTGAAATAAGACATCGGCTTCATATTGCCGTACTGGTATTATGTAACTAATTAGAAGACAGGAAGTGAGAAAAGTTGTTTAATTCAGTTGAAACCAAAGAGGAATTTGAGAAAACAGTAAAGTTGCTAGTTTAGAAATTTGGGACTTCAGAGCTTGTCATTTTTGACACAATTGTTAAGAGTAAATGGAAATATCCTGATTTTGGTGTCTTTCTGATATGTGTTCTTTCTGGCTGTATTATATTTCTAGAACTAGTATAATAACGGAGGCGTTTCAGCTATAGAGTTACAAGCACTTTTGCTCTAGCACTTCATCATACTTACAAGTCTCCTTTCCAACTGCTGAGTTCACATTCTATAAAGTCCAGGGAGGTGTGTTATTTGTTTTTCAAAATAAAATCACTCTTGGGAAGGAAATGTGTAACTTTTTGGTCCTTAAATTCTCATTTTTAAAGAAGAAATCTTTTTGTTTTAGAAACATATTCCCAAGAGCTCTTAGATTTGGAATGGCTTCAATAATTAACATTATCTGATATAATTTAGATCACATCTAGAGTCTGCCATCAATTTTGGATATCATAATTTGAGAATATTGGAAAACTAGAGCATATTCAAAGAAATGGCAAGATGGTGAAATGATCTAGAAACTATACGTTGGCATGAACAGTGGAAAGATCAAACAGGGAGTTTAGCCCTAAGTAAAAATGTTGAAACTGGTGTGGCTCAGTTGGTTGGGGCATCATCCCATACACCAAAAGGTTGCAGGCTTGATCCCAGTCAGGGCACATGCCTCGGTTGTGGGTTTGGTCCTTGGTCCGGGTGCATACCAGAGGCAACCAATTGATATTTCTTTCTCATGTTGATGCTTCTCTCTCTACCTCTCTTCCTCTTTCCCATACTCTCTCTCTCAGAGCAATGAGAAAATGTCCTCAGGTGAGGATTAAAAAAAATATTAAAGTGAAATCCTGTAGTTGTCTTTAAGTAGCTGTGTGGCTAGTCTATAAACTTGTTCTATAACAAAGATCTAGGAATCAGATTTCAGATTAGCAAGAGAACTTTCTAATAATCAGAGCTGTCCATAAATAGAATGGGCTTTCTCAAAAAGGGGTCAATCTCCCTTCAGTGGATGAATTCAAGAATGCGGTGTGACTGTCTCAGAGGTCCAATAAAACACATGACTGACATTGCTAGAAGGGCACACTAAATGGCCACAAATATTTCTTTCTAAATCATTTTACCATCATGCATTTCATTTTACATAGTGCTTTATAGTTAACAAATATATTATCATTTATCATTTAATCCATCATGCTCAGTTCTTATAGCATCCTTGTGTGTCCAGTGGTATTATCCTGATTATCCTATTAAAGAAATCAAGAACCAAATTAGTTAGCATGACCTAAGCTAGTAATCTAGTAAGTGACAATTGTAACCCAGGTCTTCTGATCTGGAATCCAGTGCTTTTTCCACAACCCAGATAATTTAGTATATAAGTTTAGCCTTTGTTAATAAAAGGACGAAGCATTCTTAGAATCATAGCATCTTAGAGTAGGGATGATACGAAGTGATTTTCCGGTGTGCTAGCTCTTCCCTCTCATTTTATTTTATTACCCTCTAAATTCTTATTTGCTGCATGAATGTTAAGGAATAGCACACAGTAAAGGATTCAGCAGATTGCCAGGTCCAATTTATGTCATATCAAGTATTATCATAGTTCTTTCTAATTCTTGTTCATAAGCACATACAATAGTTTAGATTGTTTTGTATTCTATGTATTTTATCTAGGTGAAGAAACTAACCCAAAGAGGTTAAATGACTTAGCTCTGTAGTTTATAAAAGAATTTAGTAATGACCCTAGTACTGTAACTGTTCTTTTTAAGAGAACTATGGTTCTGCTTCATTCCCTCATTGTAGAAGAATATCTCAAACATTGAGTAAGCACATACGGGCAGAACTAGATCCATATTGTCTGGGAACACTCTTTCACTTATGACAGTCTCTGAGTGATAAATATATATATTGTATTTTCAACAGGATTATTTTGGAGTCTGTTCAGAGCCAGTGATCAAAGACAATGTGGTTGTGGTTTATGAGGTATTGGAAGAGATGCTTGATAATGGGTTTCCACTAGCTACGGAGTCAAACATCCTCAAAGAGCTGATAAAGCCTCCCACTATTCTTCGAACAGTTGTCAACACCATAACAGGTATGGACAAAGGGGAAACCCACAGAAAGCAGCTGCCGTAGTGGGTGTGGCTTGGTCTGGTGTCTGCATTGTTCTGAGTGCTTATCTTTGGGGATCTCAAATGTTCAGATGCTTTAATTTTGCTTTTTATAGTCTTGGAGTATGTCCTGAAAGAGATTTCAGTTATGTAGAAAATATCCTGATTTCAATGAAAAAATGAAGTATTCTCCTTTAAAAATCATTTTTTTCTGATTTCAGAAGAAACACATTATTATTGTAGAAACGTTGGAAATACAGAAAAGCACAAAGAACATGGATTAATTCTTACTTGCACCACACTTTTAACATACTTCTGTGTCTATTTTTTTGTCTTTTCTAGACACATAGATTATGGATAGATGGATGGAATTTTTAACAACTCTTATACATATATTAAAACTTAACCTTTTATCAATATTTTGTGAACACTTTCATTAGGACAACTATTCTTACATAATTTTCAGTGACTTTACAATTTCCTGCCATATGGAATAGAACCTACATTATTTACTCAGTCCCAGTTTAAGAAGTCTCTGATTTTTTGTTCTTTTAAATAAGAAAAATCAGCATTCTTATACTTAAATCTTTGTGCACATCTAGGGTGATTTCTTTTCAGTACTAGAAATAGAAGGGCTGGACCAAAATGTGTGCATGTTTTATGGACTTTAATGCATTGTGCCAAATTGCCCTCCAGAAAATTTATGCCAATTTATACTTGCAGTAGCAATTTCTATGCACCCTGGTCAACCCTATTATCATTATTATTATTATTAAATTAAAAAACTTTGATAGTTTAGTGATATATTATTATTTACACACTCATTTTTTATTACTAAGGAAATTAAAAGCTGTTCAAGTGTTTATTGACTGTTTTTCCTCTATAGTGAATTACTTTTTTGTGTTGAAATGTTTTTATTTTTTATTCTAATTTAAAATAATTCTTTCATTTAAGGATATTAAACCACCACATACAGGGTCTGGCACAAATAATACCGCCTCTTTATTACAAAATCATAAGCCTGTAGTTCTGTAACATAACAATATCACACTCAAGCGCACCATATGACATTTTAGGTGAAATGTTCACATTGCTGTCCATCTTGTGTAAGACATTCACACACCCTACCAAAGACACTCACGCAAGCCTTACTTCTGCCAGATCCTGTATACTGAAAATAATACACATTGGTTGGTGGAAGCTCTTTATATATTTTGAATGCTCTGTTACAAGTATTCAACCTGTCTTGTCATTTGACATTGTGCATGGTATTGCTTGTGTAGCCACATTTAAAAATGTTTGATTTAGTAAAGTTAATCATTCTTCTTAATTAAGGTTTTACATTTTGGGTCTTGCTAAATATATGAATGAGGTTTACAAGGAATTTGATAAACTGATTGATAAATACATTTTAAAAGGAATAAATATGCACAATAGCCAGGATGTTTTTGAAAAAGAATTACAAAGGGGTTGGAAGGATTTCTCTGTCAAATAGTATCAAGATATACTAAGTTCATATGGTACACAAGGCAAAAACTCATAGAAAAGATATGAGTTATAAAAAGAGAGATATAAAAGCCAAGACAGTTTTGAAATAAATATTAAAAAAAGAACAAGAGACTGTGTCCTATCAGATACAAGATATATCATGAAATTTTGGTAATTTAAAAATACAGTATTTGCCCAGTGATAGGCAAATATAACTGGGATGAAATAGAAAGTCCAGAAACAGACCCTTGCATTTATAGAAATTTGGTATAAATAGATGTGGTCATATATCAAATCAGTGGACCAGGGGCCAGTTGTTAAATATATTGTACTGGGAGAATCAGCTTTAATATAGAAAAAAATGAAGTCTCTCTACTTATTCTATACGCAAAATAAGATCCAGCTTGATGTAGAGTTAAACACAAACTATATAACTGTTAGAAGAAAACATAAGAAATGTCTTTTTGATCTTGGAGAAGGGAAAGTCTTTTTTAAAAACTGTGTATTTGTCTAATTCTTTTACAATTTTATTTTTGGATCTAATTCTTTAATCTATTTGGAAATTATCTTGGTAATTAATATAAGGCTCTATGTTTATTTTTTCAAATTGCCAGTCACTTTTCCTAGCACTATTCATTGAATAATTTATCTTTTTCCCCCTGCTTTCAAATGATATTGTTATCTTGTACTTAAGTCATTATGGATTCTGGGACTTTTTTTTTTAGGCTTTCCTGCCTTTTAGCACACTGATTTAATTATTATAGCTTGATGACATGTTTTAATATATAGTGCATTTTTTAAGGAAACATTTGTTGGGTTTTTCAATATTTTGGGCTCATTTTTAAACCTTAAACAGCTTTATTAATACCTGAATCATTTATGAATATTATTAAGTCATTTTCTGGAATCTCACTTTAATCTAGAAAAAAGTATCTGAGAACCATTCTGAAAAGCTGAAATGTTTTGTAAACATGCTGAATATGTGTATGTTTGGTGTTTTTTTCCTTTAGATTAAAAAGATCCAGGTTACAGGAGAAGGAAATACATTTTAAATTAGTTATAATATTTCATAATTTTAGTATAGAACCTTTGAATTAAAAAATATTTTTGATGCTTGTGAGGGAAAACCAAGTCAAGGAGCTGATTTATAACTCTTATAGACAAGGAAAGATCTAATTTGTATTCTTTTCCTCAGTTTCAGTATTGGCATGAGAGAGATTATTTGATGTATACATTTTAATACCTAATGTAAGTGCACTTAAGAATCTACCTCAAACTAGAATACTGTTTTCACCCATGAAAATCTTATATCAATATGTAGATTACCATCTCTACTGAAAGCCAATACATTATTTAAGCTGCAAGCTATTGTGGAATTTGAGAGACCAAGTTCAAGTTACTTTCAAAACCAAAATATGATATCTGTTTCTCAGGTAACTTTTTTAACCTTTATTCTGCTTGAGAAGGCAGACCAGATGGTGACAAGTTTTTAAAGGAGACCAGGTTACCCATCTAGAACTCGGGAAAACTCTTGTCTGTTTTTTTGAAAAATTCTTTAAGTGACTAAATAAATAATGGGAGCATAGAAACATCTAGGAAAGTGTTCTATGATTATTAGATAATTGATTATATCCAGTTATCATACTGGAAATAAATTACAGTAATATTCATTGTCTCAGGAAGCACCAATGTGGGTGACCAGCTTCCCACCGGGCAGCTGTCCGTGGTGCCGTGGAGACGGACTGGGGTGAAATACACCAATAATGAGGCCTATTTTGATGTGATTGAAGAGATTGATGCCATCATTGATAAATCAGGTAGGTGCTTTTAACCTGTTCTCTGAACTATGAAAATGGAAAGAAGTCACTTTCATGCAGTGCTTGCTATTAACAGAATTATCCCCCAATTCAAAATCATTCATTCTAACTTAGTGCCTACTTTGTGTCAATCACTGTACTAGGTACTAGGAATGGACTTAAATCTAATGATGTAGGTGACACGATCATATATGTAGAAATCCCTAAAGATTCAACAAAAATCTAATAGAACTAATAAATTCAGGAAAGTTGTAGTATAAACAATAAACATACAAGAATCAGTGGCATTTTTATATTCAAACAACAAACTATCATAAAGGAAACTAAGAAAACAGTTCCATTTATGACAGCAACGCAAAGAATAAAATACTTAGAAATAAGGAATAAACTTAACCAAAATGTGAAAGATTTGTACATTAAAAATTATAAAACATTAATGAAGAAAATTAAAGAAGACACAGATAAATGGAGAGACATCTGTTCTGGCTAAGATGGAGGCATAGGTACATAGGCTTTGCTTCTTGCACAACCAAAAGAAGGACAATGACAAACTTAAAAACAAAAAACACCCCAGAACTGCCAGAAAATCAAACTATATGGAAGTCTGACAAACAAGGAGTTAAAGAAGAAACATTCATTGAGACTGGTAGGAGGGCTGGGGATGGGCAGCTGGGTTGGAGAGGACGTGCAGCAAGGCAGTGGCTAGAGGGCTGAGTGGTCCCACATATGCCTGTGGATAAACCGGGAGGAACAACAGGGGAGAGAGACAGACAGTGCAACCCAGGGTGCCAGTGTGGGACAAGAAAGTCTCCAAACCTCTGGCTGTAAACACCTGTGGGGGTTGCAGCAGCAGGAGAAACTCCTGGCCTCACAGGAGAGTTTGTTGGAGAGACCCATGGGGTCCCAGAATGTACACAAACCCGCTCACCCAGGAATCAGCCCCAGAAGGGCACAATTTGATTGTGGGTACCAGGGCAAGTGACTGATAGCCAGCCAAGAGCTGAGCAAGTGGCATTGTTCCCTCTCTGACCCCTCCCCCATATACAGTGCCACAAATCAGCAACCTGGGTTTCCCAGCCCTGGTGAATACCTAAGGCTCCACCCCTCCCAAAATAACAGGCATTCAGAGACAAAGAAATATGGCCCAAATGAAAGAATAGATCAAAGTTCCAAAAATAGAACTAAGCAATGAAGAGATAGCCAACCTATCAGATGCAGTTCAAAACACTGGGAATCAGGATGCTCACAGAAATGGTTGAGTATGTTTGCAAAATAGAGGAAAAAGTGAAGGCTATGCAAAATGAAATAAAGAAAAGTATACACGGAACCAACAGTGAAGGGAAGGAAACCAGGACTCAAATGAACGATTTGGAGCAGAAGGAAGATACAAACATTCAACCAGAACAGAATGAAGAAGCAAGGATTCAGAAAAATGAGGAGAGGCTTAGGAGCCTGTGGGAAAACTTAAAATGTTCCAACATTAGAATCATAGGGGTGCCAGAAGGAGAAGAAGAAGAGCAAGAAATTGAAAACTTATTTGAAAAAGTAATGAAGGAGAACTTCCCCAATCTGGCAAAGGAAATAGACTTCCAGGAAGTACAGGAAGCTCAGAGCCCCAAAGAAACTGGACCCAAGGAAATACACGCCAAGGCACACCAGAATTACATTACCCAAAATTAAAGATAAGGAGAGAATCTTGAAAGCAGCCAAGAGAAAAGGAGACAGTTATCTACAAAGGAGTTCCCATAAAACTACCAGCCGATTTCTCAAAAGAAACCTTACAGGTAAGAAAGGGCTGGAAAGAAGTATTCGAAGTCATGAAAGGCAAGAACCTACATCCAAGATTACTTTATCCAGCAAAACTATCATTTAGAATGGAAGGGCAGATAAAGTGCTTCCCAGGTAAAGTCAAGTTAAAGATGTTCATCATGACCAAGTCCTTACTATATGAAATGTTAAAGGAACTTATCTAAGAAAAAGAAGAAATCAAAACTATGAACAGTAAAATGACAACAGATTCATAACTATTAACAACTGAACCTAAAAAAAATAAACTAAGCAAACTACTAAACAGGAACTGAATCACAGAAATGGAGATTACATGGAGGGTTATCAGTGAGGAGGGGAGGGAGGAGAATGGGGAAAAAGGTACAGGGAATAAGAAGCGTAAGTGATAAGTACAAAATAGGGGGAGGTTAAGAATAGTATAGGAAATGGGGAAATAGAAGCACTTATATGTACGACCCATGGACATGAACTAAAGCAGGGAACGCTGGTGGGAGGGGGGTGGAGGGGAATAAAGGAGGAAGAAAAAATGGGACAACTGTAATAGCATAATCAATAAAATATTCTTTAAAAAATAGACACCTGTATTCATGGATTGGAAGAATTAATATTTTTATAATGTCAATAATACCCGAAGGGTTCTACAGATTCAGTGCTGTCCCCATCGAAGTCCCAATGGCATTCTTTGTAGAAATTGGGAAAAAAGTCATATGGAACCAAAAAAGACCCCAAGTAGCCAAAGCAGCCTTCAGCAGGAAGAATCAAGCTGGAAACTTCATACTTCCTGATTTCAAAGTATATTACAAAGCTACATTAATTAAGACAGCATGGATCCGAAATAAAGACAGATATATATATATATATATATATATATATATATATATATATATACCCATGAAGCAACATAGAGAGCTCAAAAATAAAACCACACATTTATAATCAACTGATCTTCAACAAGAATGCTGTGAATATACAATGGGGAAAAGACAGTCTCCTCATTAAATGTGTTGGGGAAACTGAATATCTGCACACAGACCAATCAAACTGAACCCTTACCTTACACTGTATACAAAAATCAACTCAAAATGAATTAAAAATGTAAACATAAGAGACAAAATCAAAAAACTACTAGAAGAAGAGATGGGGAGAAAGCTTTTTGATATCTTTGGGCAATGTGTTTTTAGATATGACACCAAAAGCAAAGGCAACAAATGCAAAAATAGACAAATGCGATTGCATCAAACTGAAAAAGCTTCTGCATAACAAAGAAACAATCAACAGAGTGAAAAGGCAACCTATAAATAGGAGAAGATACTTGTATACCATGCATCTGAAGAGGGATTAATATCCAAAATATATAGGGAATTCTTACCACTCTAGCAAAACAAAACAAAAAACAAATAATGTGATTAAAAAGTCAGCACAGGACATGACTAGACATTTTTCAAAAGGAGACATAAAAATGGCCAGAGAATATATGTAACAGTGCCCAACAATTACTAATCATCAGGGAAATACAAATCAAAGCTCTAAGATACTGCATCGTACCACTTAGAATGGCCATTATAAAAAGACAAAAGATAAGTGTTGAAATGAGGCAGAGGAAAGGGAACCCTTATACACTGTTGGTGGGAATGTATATTGGCACAACCATTATGGAAAACAGTATGGAGGTTTCTCAAAATGTTAAAAATAGAACTACCGTATGAACCAGCAATCCCACTTCTGGTTATATCCAAAGGAAATGAAGTAAGTATCTTAAAAAAATATCTGCACCTCCATGTTCATTGTAGGATTATTCACAGTAGCCAAGATATGGAAATAACCTAAATGTTTGCTGACAGACAAATGGGTAAAGAAAATGCGAGATAGATCTATACACACAATGGAAAATTATTCAACCATAAAGAAGGAAGGAAATCTTGCCATTTCCAACAATATGGATGAACCTGGATGGCATGACACTTAAGTGAAATAAACCAGATACAGAAAGACATATACTCTATGATCTCACTTACAGGAGAGGAGAGTAGAGGGGTGGTTACCAGGGTTTAGGAGGAGGCACAAGTGAGGAGGTGTTGGTCAAAGCGAACAGAGTTCTGTTCTGCGATGTAAGCAGGCTCTGGAGATTTAATGTATAGCACAGTGACTACGGTTACATTGTTAAAGGATTCCCTTTACCCTGTCTCGTTAAATTAACACATCCTCACTTCACATATGTATTATATACTTGAAATTTGCAGAGGGGAGATTGTAAGTGCTTTTACCACACACACACACACACACACACACACACACACACACAACTGTGAGGTAATGGATACATTAATTGGCTTGATTTTGGTGATCATTTTACAATGTGTGTGTGTATCAAAACATCAAGTTGCACAGCTTAAATATTTACAATTTTTATTTGTTAATTATACCTCAGTAAAGCTGAAAAAAGCAACAAAAATATGACGATGCAGACCAATACTTGTCTCACACTTTTATTGATTTTATTTTATTTTTTCATTTACTTTTTTCCCTAAGTATTTTATTTTTCAAATTATATTTTCTTGATTATGCTATTAAAGTTGTCCTGATTACCCCCTTTTGCCCCCCTCCACCCAGCATGCCCCGCTCCCTCAGGCGACCCCCGCCCCCGCCCTTGTTCATGTCCATGGGTCATGAGTTTAAGGTCTTTGGCTGCTCTATTTCCTATACTGTACTTTACATCCCCCTGGCTATTCTGTAACTGCCTATTTGTACTTCTTAATCCTCTCATCTCTTCACGCATTCTCCCCCACCTGCTCCCTTTTACAAACCATCAAAATGCTCTCCATATCCATGATTCTGTCTCTGTTCTTCTTGTTTGCTTAGCTTGTTTTTTAGAGTCAATTGTTGATAGATTTGGGGTTTTTTTTTTTGCCATTTTATTGTTCATAGTTTTGATCTTCTTTTTCTTAGGTCCCTTTAACATTTCATATAATAATAGTTTGGAGATGATGGACTCCTTTAGTTTTTGCTTGTCTGGGAAACTCTTCATCTGCCCTTTGATTCTAAATTATAGCTTTACTGGTTAGAGCAATCTTGGCTGTCCGTCCTTGCTTTTCATGACTTTGAATATTTTTTGCCAATTCCTGTAGCTTGTAAAGTTAACCAATAAATTTAATAACATTTTTAAAAAATGATGAGCTAGACAAACTCTTAAAGAGAAAAGTAAACCCAGTAATTAAGTCATTGAATACCTATAATATTCCCATTCCAAATAATATAGGAAAACAATAATTATTTGCAAATAACGAAGAGAGGCATGTCATTCACAGGGACAACTGGTCATTATGTGGCATTCCTCAGCATAATGCTGGGGATCTACATCTTCCCCATGATGAGCCTTCAGAGATTCTTGTTAGTAAACATGGGTGAGTGGCAGCTGGCTTTTGGTTCAGTGATGGTATTTTCAGCATTTTTTTGACTAATCATTTCTGAATTCTGCCACTAAATCTTTTTGAAATCTTAATTATGTTCTGAATTGTGTTCCAAATACAAACTTCCGGACCTCTTTATGAAATGCCTTTGTTGTAGCTGCTGCTGTTGTTGATGATGATGATGCTATTTTGCTGTTGACAATGAGGTTATACAAATAAAGGAGACAAGAGAGGTTAAAAAGAGAGAGGAAGAAAGACAATCTATGGCTATAGAAGCTTGTTTAAAGCCTAGTGAGGGAGAGAGAAATGTAAAAAGGTGGAGGATAAGAGAGGTATCCCACCCATATAGGACAAAGTCTAAAGAGGTTATAGTGTTTATGCTTTATCAGTAGAATGAGTAGAAGTTATTAAAACCTTCATGCATTTTTGAGCAAAGTATGTTTCAATCTGGTTTCCAACACTTTAAGATAGGTAAAATATTGTTGGGAAATAAAGTAGTTCAGTATGACTGGACTGAGAAGCATAAAAAAAAAGAAAAGTGAATGATGAAGCTTTAAAACTAAGCATAGCAGCTTTTAATATTAGTCCAAAACTGAAAATATCCCAAATGTCCATTAGTAACAGAAAGGATAAATAGATTTTGATATGGTCCTACAGTGGAACACTATACAACAATGAAAAAGAATAACTATTTATACACCCAACAACATGAATGAATCTCACAGTGTTGAGCAAGAACTCAGATGCATAAGGTTGTGTACATTTATATGAAGTTTGAAGACAGGTGCAACTTAATCTAAGGTAATAGAAGCCAGAATTTTAAGGACTTGGATTAATTAGGATGGGCAAGAGGAGCATACTGGGATGCCAGAAAGGGTTTGCATCTTGATGTGGGTGATTTTGCATGGGCATATACATATTTAAAAATTCATTGAGCTGTACATTTAAGATTTTTGCATTTTACTATAAGTTTTACCTCAATTAAAAAAAAAACCCAAAATAACAACTGGATAGCTAGATCATAAAGAGTCTTGTATGCCTTTTTAAAGAGGATTATTTGGAGCAATTAAAAACTTTTAAGTTGGGGAGTAACTTGAACAGATTGGTAGTTTAAAACTATCAGTCTAGCTGCAGTGTGAAGAATGGCTTGAAATGGGGTAAGATCGAAGGTAAGGAAAGGAGGAAGCTGTTGCTGAAGTCACAAAATATAGCTGTCCACAGTGGTAGTGAGGGTGGAGAGGAATGAACAAGTGATTTAAAAAATAGGAGTCATATAAAAGAGAGGAAATGATCATTGATTGGGTATGGGCAATGAAGAACTAGAAGGTGGTCAAGGATTTTCTGGCTTAGCAACAGGATAGATGGTATCATGAAGATATGGAAACTAGAAGGAGCAGGTACAGGAATGAGGATAATGGATTCACTTTGACGTGTAGAGTTTAAAGTGCCTCTGAGACATCCAAGTGGAGCGATCCAATTGGCTGAGCGGGGAAAAAAGGTTAGGAAATAATCAGCCATCAATGAAAATTGAAGCCTGGAGCAGTAGGTAAAATAACCCAAGGGGAGAGTGTTGAGTGAAAGAAGAGAAGTTCAGAACCAGAAAGTCAGGAACATTTAAAGGATGTGAAAAGAAAGAAATCTGCAGAACGCACTGAGGGAGATAGAAGGGTAGGAAACTAGGAGAGGGGAGGGTTTTGAAAAGGGAGAAGGGGGCCGACAGTGACAAGTGCTACAGAGGGATCCTGTAGGATAAAGACCAAAGGTGCCCACTCAACATAGCAGCAGAGCTCATTGGTGGCCTTAGGGAGAGCAGTTTCTGATAGGAAATTTCCAGAACCCTGAACCATTAGTTAAGATTATGATGTTCTCTTTGATTCTGGTACTAGACTGAAAACTCCTTCAGGCTAATGATCTCATTATTTTTTTTTATCCCCATTACTTCATCTGAGTATCTCATACTTGATATGCAGTTGATGAATATTTGGAAGGATGGACAATGTTAGGTGGACGGATCGGATGGATGGACAGAAGGAAAGAAGAAAGAGAATGAGGGAGAGGTGGGGGAAGGAAGAGATGGAAGGAGGGAGGGAAGAAATGAGTTGGGAAGAACAGAAGAGAGTTCAGTAACCTCTTACCTTCCTCTTGTCTTGTCCTGGTCTCAGGTTCCACCATTACTGCTGAGATCCAGGGAGTGATTGATGCCTGTGTCAAGCTGACTGGAATGCCTGACCTTACGCTTTCCTTCATGGTAAGAACCTGGGCCACAGGTTTAGTTCTATGAATGGGAAATGAAATGCTTTCAGAAAGACAGAGTCGTGAGAGTGAAATGGAACAAAAAAGTATAACGAAGGCTCTGGCTGGTGGGGCTCAGTGGCTTGAGCACAGGCCTGGGAAGGTCTCCAGTTTGATTCCTGGTCAGGGCGCATGCCTGAGTTGTGGGCCACGTGCCCAGTGGGGGGTGCGTGTGAGAGGCAACCAATCGATTTCTCTCCCTCTCTCCTTCCCTCTGCTCTCTCTGAAAATAAATAAGTAATCTTTTAAAAAAATATAAATAAATAAATAAAATATTGAAAAAAGAAAGATAATTAAGGACATCCACCCAGCTGTGTCAGGCTTGACTTTTCTATAAATAACTACAGAATTTCTGTGTGTGCGTATGTGTTTTAGTAAAAACAGCAACTAAATTACTCCCGAAAGAAATGTGGGTATTCAGTTCCTACTTTTTTGCCTTCCCTGCCTGGTAACTATAGAACCCCAGGTTGCTGGATGACGTCAGCTTCCACCCTTGTGTTCGTTTCAAGCGCTGGGAATCGGAGCGTATCCTCTCCTTCATCCCTCCTGATGGAAACTTTCGCCTGCTCTCTTACCATGTCAGTGCCCAGAAGTAAGCAGCCCTTATAATTAAGAATGGAGCGCGTGTGTGTGTGCGTGTGTGTGTGTGTGTGTGTGTGTGTGTGTGTGTGTGTGTGTGTAAACCATATCCATAGTGATTAAGAACTCTGGCTCTTGAGATACCTGGGTTCAAATTCCACCTTCTTTACTTACTGATTGGGTAGCCTCAGCTGAGTTGCTTGCCCTTTCTGTGTCTGTTTTCTTACCTGTAAGTTGAAAATAATAAAAGTGCCTTGTTATGAAGGCTAAATAAGAGAATCTAAATAGTGCTTATCACAAAGTTGGTGCTCATTAAGTTTGCTGCTATTATCTTTGTTGTCATTACTATATGTCTAAATAAGAATATTTTTTTTCTCAAATTGGAATCTGAGTACGCCTGTATTCACCATCCCCCAACCCAAAAGAAGCATTAAATTATACAATGAAAACCATAAAATGCTGCCATTTTTGGTCTTGAACATTCTCTGTAATATGAGTTAAGGGTTTCTGTGAGCCTGTAGTAGGGGGTGTACAGTAGAAGATATGTGGACTGCAGAGAGCTACAAGACCTCGGAGCCACCAATAGCTTTTTGTGTGATTTGGAATAAATAGTTCATAAAAATATCTGAGTGCTTGAGAGCAAAGGCTCTGGAATCAGACCAGCTAGACTTAAGCTGCACCTTCAGTATTTATGATATATGACCTTGAGCAAGTTGTATAACTGAGGTTAAGCATATCAGTATTCATCTGTAAATTCAGGACAATAGCAGTACCTACTTCGTAGTCACTGGAAGATTAAATGAGATAATAGAGATAAAGGATTTAGTATAGTGACTGGCACTCAGGAAGTGCTTAATGTATATATTAGGAACTGTTATTATTCTCTGACTTCTCTATTTCCTCTTCTGTCAAGTCACAACAACTTACCCTACTTCATAGGGTTTTTGTAATAATCAGACAAAAGTCCTATCAAGAAATTATTAAGTGTTCATGATGTATGATGTACTCTCCCAAGTACAAATTGTCAGTTACATGCCACAAAATAAAAGAGAAATATCGTGACTCCTAATTTTTGTTTATAATGCCTTTCCCATAGTAGGCTTAGTATACTCTTTAATTTTGTGGATATTAGTCAAGGAGTCATTAGAAGAGTTAGTTTGCTTAGTAGACAGCATGTTAACTTTATAAAAAGAAAAATATAAAAGATTGCTAGGGGCTTTTACCCATGCTTAATTTTTAAGATGAGTAAGGAAGTAGATAAGGGGGGAAAAGCTGCAACAGGGCAGACAAGGGGGAAAGTTTGCCATTTTTGCAGTACATTAACGAAATGAACTTTTGTTTGTCTTTTTTCTAGTCTTGTGGCAATTCCAGTGTATGTCAAACATAACATCAGTTTCCGGGACAGTAGTTCACTTGGACGCTTTGAAATAACGGTGGGACCTAAGCAGACTATGGGGAAGACCATTGAGGGAGTGATTGTCACCAGCCAGATGCCCAAGGGCGTCCTGAATATGAGCCTCACTCCATCTCAGGGGACGCACACGTTTGACCCAGTTACCAAGGTAGGAGAATAAGCAGGGGGTTTTGAATTGCTGATCTTAAATAGAAGTAATGCTGCTGGAGCTCTTCACGTAGACTTTATACCTTGTCGAAAGGGGTGATTAATCAAAGGGACATTGTTTTTTCTTCGAGATAATTTAGGGTAACATAGGATTCTATGTTGAGAAACACTCTAGAGGCAGGTTATAATATTGTGAACCGATTGACTGAGGTTAGAGCTCAACCACTGCACATGAAAGGCTCCACCATAACCTTTTCTTTCTTTGAAGATGCTGTCTTGGGATGTAGGAAAAATAAATCCCCAAAAGCTACCAAGTTTGAAGGGGACCATGAGTCTTCAGGCTGGAGCTTCCAAACCAGATGAGAATCCCACGATTAACTTGCAGTTTAAGATCCAGCAGCTGGCCATTTCTGGTAAGTGCCCCACAGCATAGGTGGCTTTGAAGAAAACAGAAATGACTCCCTGTTTATCAAGCTTGGTTTCATGACCTGATATGTAATCTGTAGTAAAATCTTTTCTAGCACATTTCTGGGGAAAGTTTATAATCCTTGCTTTGAAGTTGGCTCAAGAGACCTGAATAAAAGTGTCTAGGACACAGAGGAGATGGTAGGCAGGGGTGTTCCCAGACAGTCGTTGAGGCTCCTGGGCTTCTCGCTTTGAGGTTTCCTAGGTCTTCAGTGTGGGAATGCTTCTGCATGCTCCGCTGATGACTGAAAAGGATAATTTCCCCTCCTTTCCCCCAATTTCAGGAGACTTTCACATTTGCTTTTATTATCATTTAGAACCCTTGGGCCTATCCAAGTTGGTTCATCATAGTTTAGACCTACCTTAGGATGATAGTAATAATAACAGCAACCACTTACTGGGCATTTACTGGGTGCCAGGCACTGTTTTAAGCTCTTTTCATCTATTATTTAATCCTTTGAACAATTCTGTAAGATAGAAAGGAGACTATGTGAAATTCCTATTTTCCTTTACCAACAGGCCTTGTCTCATTTAGATGATCAGAATCCACTTAAATTATAAAGTCTTTCATCTTAAAATATTTAATAAGCTTTAAAATTTTATATGGTATAAATTTTTTAGCTTAGTATATTAAGAATACTTAGAAAGCATTCATTTGTTTATTATTTTCCATTATTTATGCATTTGATTATAATTTATTTCATTATTAATTTCTTGATTTTATTATTATTAATTCATGTATTTGGTCCAATAACTAGAGAAATACATACAGTGGTCTTACTTTTACTTTACCCTCATTTCAGTCTGCATACAACTTTCTGCCCTTTTCACTTAGGAACAGGTCTTCTAATAGGATAACTTTTGGTTGCAGAAATTTTTTATCATCCGTGTATGTACCAAGAGTGAAGAATCTATCAGTTTCATGTGTAATGAAACTTTTTCTGGTTCATTGCTACTACTATTTCTATCCTACTGATCTCTTTGAATGGAAATGAATTTAAATAGTTATGCTACCTGCTTCTATGAATTATACTTATGTCATATTCTTCCTTCCTTCCAGGACTCAAGGTGAACCGCCTGGATATGTATGGAGAGAAGTACAAACCCTTTAAGGGCATAAAATACATGACCAAAGCTGGAAAGTTCCAAGTTCGAACCTGAAGGGAGAGTTTTGCAAAGGGAACAGTCACGAACACTTTTTCCTTTCTTACTTGTCTAAGAGTAAAAAAAAAAAAAAAAAAAAAATCAGCCTGTCTCCTAAGTCAGTCCCCTTCTGGACCCACCTGCTCCCTTTTTTCCTTCGCCTTCAGTGCCTGGAACTAATCAAAGGAGAAAAGGGTCGCCAGGGAGGATGGGACAGAACTGAAACACAGCACCAACCCAGTTCTCAAAGAGGAGCTGTATGATGGAGGCCAGAGGGACCTGATACCGTATTTAGCTGTTTTTAACATGGTTACCCTAGGAAAACACTAGCATTTGTTACTTGCTTGGCTTTATTATCTAAAGTCAATGAAAGCCTTCTTTGTTATTATTTTTTAAGGTGGGAGGGAAGGAAGGAAGGAAGGAAGGAAGGAAGGAAGGAAGGAAGGAAGGAAGGAAGGAAGGAAAGAAAGAAGGAAAGAAAGGAAACTTTGGAAGAAAATGAATATTAGTCAAGCAAAGGCCAGTTAAGGATCTGATCTATGAGGGGGAAGAAAGTGGAAACAGTTTTGAACAAGTATGAGGACACAAAGTGAAAGTCGCAAGAAAAATAAGTCCCATGTGGGGGAGGGTTAGAGAGGGTAGAGGTAGTTTCTTTTTGACCCCTTTACTTTCATATATTTAAAAAATTTCTTTTGCACTTCTAGAAATGAACTGGAAATTTCTAAATATAAGTCCACTATTGATATGGAAAACCCCGGTAAAATCAGGTTTTCCCTTGAAGACCATGACTTTATGTGACCAGTTTCAGACACTAGCTGCTGCTTTGCCTTTAGCACTTGGTCTGTCATCTTCAGTGAGAAGGTGACTTGCCCTTTCCCCAGTGGTGGCTGCCAGAAATGCCTCTCTGCCTAACCCACAACAATTCTACTCACTTTACAGAATCTATCAGCTTTTTCCTGTTACCTAAGGAGAGTTTCAGAAAAGGCAATCCAGGGCAACTGTATTTTGTATGTTATAGTATTGGAGTGTAGACAGCCAGCTCATTCTTCATGAAGGTGTAGCCCAACTATAACCCAGTGATTCCTCATTTTCATTTGTCAGTGCTGGACTGCTGCTCCTAGAGCCTCAGCCGTCCTGCCTGAGACTTTTCCTTCTGTAACCCAAAGTAAATAGAATGCTTACCATTGAGGGTGTGTTTCATCCTTGAAGCTGCTCAGTCAAGGTATTTCCTCAGTCTTTTGTTCTCTCTCATGTATTTATGAACAATAGATATCTAACAGTTCATTTTTCTTTTAAGGCTACCCCCTGCCCCCACCAAACGCCCCGAATTTTTTGAATAAAACTAACGGAAGATCGGCCATGTTGATCATGTGTAACTCAATTTCAGAAACATGGCAACTGAAGGATTACCTCAGGCTTTCCCAATGGGTAATTTTTATTCTAGTTTAGTGGGTCTATTATCCATTTAAATATTTATGTAAAAGATAGGTTTTTAAAAATTGTAGCTTAAGTAGTGATAGTGCGCTCTACTTCGTGCATGGAGGAAAATGAAGACCTGTCATCTCCAAACCCTACGATTTTTCTCCAAAGCCTTATATCCAGAATACTTAAGTGTTCTGTTTGTTTGTTTGTTTGTTTTCCTAGTTTTAACTTCCTACTTGCTGGACTTGTTTTTGCTGTAGAGTCATGTTGCTGTGTGGTTTTTCTCTGGGATACATTGTGACTATGCAATGTGTTTCAGATTCCATCACTCTTGCTTTCCTATGTCCCATATACACACCTACCGTGGTCAGGGAGACATCTCTACTGTGGATTGCAGAATACTTAGAATCACTTCTCCCGAGGGCTCTGGAGGATTTTAAAGTTTCACATAAAATAACCAACTTAATCCCTGAATATTTTTAGTTGTTTGAGTCCAGCTGTTTTATTTCCTCCAGGGCAGCTCATCCTAATCTCAAGCGAAGAAGGAAGTTAAGGAGAAATAAAGTATCTAGGGTTATGGGACCTGCAGACCTTAGCATAGAAGTGACTATCGCGGCACGTGTGTAGCTGGCCTTTGGGGCGCAGCGGAGTCTCATTGCTGCCACCCAGCAGTGTGTTAGTGTGAGAAGTGCAGGGTGTCTTGATCAAGCTGTTCAGTTCCATGTGTTTAACATGTGCAAAAGTATCTTCTCTGTTTAATTCTTAATAAAGTTGAGTTTTGCCAGTCCTCCGTGTCCTAAGTGTTTTGTTATTAGGACTAACAATGATGCTATGCCGTGTGTGCCTCAGTAGAAGCAGTGAGGAATAATTCAGGAGTACTTCACTGCCGTACTTTTCAGCCAACTGACCTAAAGCCGTATGTATAGTTTGCTTCTCTAGTCCCCTCTGGAAGATGGGGGATGTTGGTATTAGTGTCATTTTTTTTTTTTAATTCCTCAACCAAGCATATGTTTATTGATTTTTTTTAGAAAGGGGAAGGAAGAGAGAGAGAAAAAAGTTGATGTGAGAGAGAAACATTGATCGGCCGCTTCCCATATATGCCCTGACCAGAGATTGAACCTGCAACATTTTGGTGCATGGGACAATGCCTCAACCAACTGAGCCACCCAGACAGGGCTGTCTGTATTAATGTCATTTTTAAGGTTGTGAGAACAAAGGTCCAGATCAATCATTTTTTCCCAGTGTGTAGAAGACAAAACCATTAAAGCTGCTGATATCTGTTCTAGTGCTTTCCCTATTCTCTTGATCTTTGTTGATTAATTTTGACAAGAAACAGGGCTTCAAGGTCCTAAACATCGTAATTGTAGCAGAGATTTGGAAGATAAGACATTGGGAGTTTTGGTCACGTGTAGACACTGGTGGTTATCCCATAGCTGTACTAATTTCCCTCTGTAAATCCCTCATGGCCATAAAGAGATTTTAATCCTTCTTTCTATTGACTTACCGCAGTGTGTAATTTCCGTTCTAGCTATCTTAGTCATTCATATCTCTTCCCTTGGCCTGGCTCTTTTCCTGGCATTGGAGTGTGACCAGTTTATTACACTTGTACTTTGCTTTCTGACCAGCAGGTGGTGACTCAGTGCCGGCAATGGATTAATTTTTTGTTAGAATTTTAAGAGCGTAATTGAGTATGAAACTCTAAAATTTTCCCAAGGATTTTCTTTTACAGGATCCCAAATTCTGGGGATTGTGTGAGTCTTTGGCTTTCTAAGTAAACATGGAACCAAAAGTTTCCGACACTTTTTGATAATCAGACTTAACATTGAAGCCCTAGGAGAACAGTAGTTTCAACCGTCTGAGTTCCTCTAGTCTTTGCCCGTTAAGACTAATTGCACAATTACCTGAGAGTCTTTCTTGTTCTTCCAGTCTATTAGCAGCTCTCTTTTATTAACTGGCTGGGGATAGTGAGGGGAATATTATATTATAATCCTATTTGATTTTCTCTTATGCCCAATTTCCTTCCCCTGACAAGTTCCGGTCATTTTACCCTGAATTTCCTAACTCACACTGGCTACTGATGTGCTGCTCTTCGAGTGTATCTTAGTAGGATTTAAACGAATCTGTCTCGTAAGGCGGGAACTCTGCCCTGTAGCTCAGTCAGTGGCCTCTTCTGAGCAATTGTCTTCATCTAGGCTGCGGTTTGTTTCCAGGACTTCACGCAGAGGAATGCTGGGGACTTTTAACTTTGCATTTCTATCCCAGGAGGCCTGACTGCCTCAGTTCATTTCATTTCATTTACCCTACTCTCTGAAGAAAAGCTTGTCACGCAAGGGGGAGGGGATGAAACCAGCTGAATTCCTGCCAGAGATTCAGGAGCTGGGAGTCTTGTTTATTGGTGTCCTCTAGCTGTGTTTTCCTGAAATGGCTGAGTGAAAGACACATCTATCTAAAATAATATCTGCCCCTTATACAGGGAAGCTTGTAAGCAGTCTTAAGAAATCTGTGACTTAGTTTCTGTGACCTGCATTTATTTAACTGGTCCTGGGTCTTCAGCATTTCAGGGATGATGTGTTTCCCCCCCCCCCCCCCGCCGCCCCCCAATGAATCCAGCTCTAGGGTCTTAATGTCCTTCTTTCAAGTGTTGAAACTACTTTTCTTCTAAGAACCTCTTTAACGGAGCAGTCTTACTAGTCTGGCATGGGGGGAGAGACACCTACAACCACATTTTTCATCTCCAAGAAACTGTCAGCATGTATGCAACAGCAAGCATCGCATCAGCAGATTTATTCTTGGGTCTGGGCTGCCAACGAGGACTGTTGGGCAGCAGCCAGGTGCATGGGTTGTATCTCCACAGTGGCTGAGAGAGTCGTCTAAGAGAAGCAGAAAGCAGCGTTCCTTAAGTAACATAACTTGCATGGACTGGTCTGGGAGTTAATTCTTTATGAGGAACAGGAAAGCAAAATGGAATGGGGGAAAATGACCCAAATACTGGCTTCTAGTCTGAAACAACAGTTGGAATGTTGCTGTGTCCGGAGGCCATGCTTAGGTTCTTCTCCTTCCTTCATTCCTCCTTTGAAGCACTGTGGTTGCCATGCAGGGAGCTTCCCCAGCTCCCTAGGCTGCTCTCTCCCCAGCCACCGCTTGCTTAGTATTCCTAAGGCATGCTCAGTTCATCTCTTACCTGGAGCAAAAACCTCAGTGGCTCCCTGGCATTTAGAGTCCCCATAATCTAAATTCCAACCTACAGCCCGGCTGGGTGGCTCAGTTGGTTGGAGCATCATCTCATACACCAAAAGGCTGTGGGTTCGATTCCCAGTCAGGGCACATATGTAGGTTGCAGGTTCCATACCCAGTTGGACAGCAACCAATTCATGTTTCTCTCTCTCTCTCTCCCTGTCAATCTAAAATCAATAAACATATTTTAAAAATAGTAAAAAAGTAAATTCCAACCTACATTCTTCATGAACTTCACTTCAAGCTGTACTACTCATTTCCTCCCCATACTCCCACGTCTTTTTTGCTAGATCTTTATAGTTCCATGCAGTGGTACTCCTTGCCTCAGGAATGCCTTTCCCATACCTGCCTGGCAGTCCAAATCTTATCCAGTTTTGGAGAGCCCTATCTAACTCTGTTTTTTCCTTAAGATTCCCTAGTCCCTCCTGCAACTGAATTTTAGTAAAAGTTTCTCTCTGCCACTTTGTGGTTCATCTCTGTTCTACCTTATTATTTCTCTGAATACTTTATCTGTTCCTTTTTTACTGTCCAAAGCACCCAGTGCATTGCCTTTTTGCAGCAAGTATTCTTTATTTGTTGAAAGGAAATATTGCAAGTGATTTTAAAATGTGAACGTGTAGAAATCAGCTGTGGGATACTGTGTACATAACAACTATTCCACTCTGAGAAAATATGTGAAAAATATACCTGAATTTATTATTTCAGCATAGTATAATACAGAATTGTGGCAACACAAAGTAAATACTACAATGGGTTGATACAAAAATGCTAAAGCCTCGTTTATCTGTTATTAAAATGATACAATTCTAGTATAAAGTTTATAATGAAAAAAGATTTACACTGTACATAAAAGGAATTCCTTCCAAGAGCTGTAGGCCAGAGAAAGGGGACAAATACTTAACTTAAAGGATGGTTTGAGGAACACGACCTGGCCAGCCAGCTCATTCCCTATTAGGGGGCCCGGGTCCCTGTTGGGCTTCCTTGTGGCAATACTCAGTCATTCTATCCCTATTGCAATACTTCTTTCCTCGAGGATCTAGTTATTTTTTTACTAGAGACGTGCTTTTATCCTTGTGGTCCCATTTCCAAAGCTGCTCACAGTGACAGATTAGGAGGTTGCGCTTTTGTCCTACCTATCTTTCCTCGATGGTAGTGTTCTGGGAGGGGTTGGCATTTATCTGTCTTCTTATCTGACAGAAATACATTCGAAATCAGACCTTAATCCCCGAACACTTCCAAAGTGGGAAGTACCTGTGAAAATACATCCTTTCCCCTCTCCCGTTGGTTATCCCCCCACTAGTCCGGTGTGATGGCTCGTGGAGAAAGCTGTGTAAAGAAGCATTCTGCCTCGGTGTGTCTTCTCATGTCGAGGAAGGCAAGGTCTGCCATGATTTCAGGAACTCGGATGTTCTTGCTCATGGGCGCGTATTGTCTCGAATCCAGTCTAGGTAATTAGTAACCTTGGTGTATACACCTGGAACGTCTTTCTGCCCACAGCCAATACCCCAACTGATGATGCCAACCAAAGTCATGCGGTCGTCCTTCATACACACCAAGGGGCCTCCTGAGTCACCCTGCAAAGGAGAGAACAGGTTAGTTGTTTGTAAAAATCGAAGACTCTCTGGGTAGAAGTTAGTGTTAATATTTGTAGTGTTACTATTGTATACTTCGTAGTACTTAGTTCACAGAGGGACGTTCTCCTCTCGGTGATCTTGATCCTCTAAGAGAATTAGGCTGCATCTACATTGTAAAGTAGAACTGAGGTAATTGCTCAGACATTTCAGGCCTCAGCCCTGGTTTTAACTCTGCCACTTACAGGCTGGGTGGGCTTGGGCTATCTGTGCTTCAGTGTCCTTATCTGTAAAAGACAGACAATACTACCCACTTGATGAGGTTGTTATGGGAATTAATTGGGAGGACGCTTGAAAAGCTCCAAGAATAATATATGCAAGACATTTGGTAAAACTCTTGATACTTGTTTAACTTATTAAATTACTGAATCAAAATGATTTTTGTTTTTAACTTGAAGCTTGCAAATAATCATGGTTTCACTTTGCATACAACATTTACATGGCTGTTGACAATGGAGGTTTCTGAAGAAATTCTTCAAAAAGAGACCAAAGGCTGTCCAGGAACCGAGGGGCGGGGGTTGCTATGATTACTTTATAAGAACAAAGTCCACAAATTCTTCAGCGCAAGAGCCTGGCTAGCTTTCCTTTTTGTACCCCTCTGACCCCAGCCCCTCAGTGAACAGCCTGCACTCTGCAGGCATGAACGTGTCTCACCAGTAACACATCCTTGGCTACATTTCGGTCCCCCTATCACAGGTCGGTCTGTGTCCCATAGACCAGTGTCTTGTTACCATGAAATAGAAGTACATTACGAACTCCAGTCAGGATGCTAATACAGAGAACCTGGGATGATTTGCTTTTCCAGGTAATTAGGGCTTAGAATACGTTTTTAAACCTCATTCCTCACAAATCATCTCTATCCTACTTCCCAGTAAGCCGCCATTCCTCCTTCCCCTGCTACAAGGCAGACTGCCATCCTCCAGCACCTATAGGAGTCAAGAATTTCTTAATTCGTGTTGCGTTATCCACCACTTCAAGAGTCAATTAATTGCTTGGGCTTACAGGAAATCCTGTACCAGGTGGGGTTTCCTGTGCAGACACTGGGGAAATTTCCTGCAGTTCAGATTTCTTAAGTTTGAGCAACTTTGATCGTTCTCCAGTTGCTTCACTTTCTGAGGCCTGCATGTAAAATCCCCAGTGCCTCACCAAGATGAAATCACTCCATTCTGGCTGCAGGTTTTTTCCCTTGGTTAAGAGTCTGTTGGCCACGGGACGTTTTTACCCTTGGAGAGATCTCATGTTTACCTTGCAAGCGTCGTGCAGGTTCGGTTGGTTCCCTCCGCTCCGTGTGTCTCCAGCACACAGCATGTTGTTCGTGATGGTTTTGTTTGACACATACTGGGACGTGCAGCGGTTGGCAGGGTACAGCCTGACATGTGCTTCCTTCAGCCGCTCAGAATAGAAGGGAGAAACTGAAAGAGAGGAGAGAAAGCATCTTATGGTTTTAGAGAAAGTTGTCAACCTTTTGGAAGGAGAAAGCCAAATTTTCTAATAGTAGATAACAAGTATCAAGCTTTTATACATAGTACATTGAATCCTATGAAATTGCCAATATTTTATTGTTTTGCCCTATAAAAATAACAATTTTATAGAGTTGAACTAGGGTTTCTCCACAGCAGCATTACTGATATTTTAGATCAGTTTTTTTTTTTTTTTTTAAACCAGATAATTTTTGTAAGGGGCTGCCCTGTGCATGTTGGATGTTCAGCAGCATCCCTGGCTTCTCCTTACTAAATGCCAGGATAAACCTCCATCCTGAGTTGTAACCACCAAAAATGCCCCCAGACATTGCCAGATGTCTCCTGGGACACAAAGTCACCCTCAGGTGAGAACCACTGGTTTAACCTAGTATCTCATTTAATCCTCATAACCTAAGGAGGTAGCTAGTTCTGTCCCCATCTCACTGATGGGAAAACTGAGGCTTGGAGCAGTATAAAATAAAAATCCAAGCCAGGGTCACACTGCTAGCAAGGAGCAGAGCAAGGATTTGACTTCAGGTCTATGGGATTGTAGTCCAAGTATCACACCCTTAATTACCATCTTCACTCTTACTAGAACCTTCTTGAAAATCTTAAACTCGTCAAAGCACTGGTGCTATTCAGAACTTTCAGGACCTGCACAGGGAGCCTGTGAGGTAGGGAAAGTGATGGTGGGTTCTCACAACACATTGACACCGCGTCAGTGCCTGACCCAGGGCAAGACCCACTCGCATGACCCTCTTTCCTCTGCCTGGTCAGCAGCTGTATCTCTCGCTGTCCCGCAGACAGACAGGATGGGCTGTGACTTCCTTCCACTTACATTCCTCATGCTTGCCGTAGCCAGACAGCTCACATTCCGTCCAGTCGGGCAACTGGAGGGCAGCTTCCGGAAGACAGACGGTGCGAACGCTGTCACTCTCTTGGGCACATTGTAGCGAATCCGATTTCAGCTGCAGCAGTGCTGGGAGGGAGAGCGGGGAAGGGTAAAGGGCCCGTGTGAAGAGCTGCTTCTGAGTTTAGGGGAGAGAGGTAAAGGAGAGGGCGAGGGTTTGGAAAGAGGGGTACGAGTGCACGTGTGGGTGTATGTTGTGTGATCCAGAGTTTGAACTGAAGCGGGGAGAAAAATGACATCTCACCAATATCATTGTCGTAAGTGTTGTCATCAAAATCCTTGTGGATGATATATTTTTCTACTTCAAATGTCTGTTCTTCTCTTCCAGGTTCCTCCCGGTAGGTTCTGCCCAAAACCACCTTAAGGTGGTGGACTGGAAACCTGATGAAGAAACATTAGATGTTCTTGCTGTGAGGATGCCTCTAACCAGCCTGGTTTCAAGGCCTTATAGAGTAGGAAAATCTTCTGGGTGTTCTAAGTCCCTACCTTTCCTGTAAGCAGTGGGCAGCAGATAGGACCCAGCAGGAACTGATCAATATTCCCCCACAAAAGAACCTTTCTCCCGTCTGCCTCCTGTTCTTGACAAAGAGAGCAGCCTGCCATGGATGAGAGGTGATGTCCGAGAAGAGTCCTCCTTTAATGCGGAACTGAGGCTGCTTGTACTTTCTCTGGCCACAGGTGGCTGGGTGAGGAAAGGGCAGAGAAGGGAGATCAGATCTGTGGTCCTAGGGTACAGTCCCTGAGCACCCATCGTGATTTCTTCACTTGGAACCCCAAGTTTCCACAGGTTTACTGCATCTCTGCAGGTTGGCACAGAGTGGTGTAACAGTCTCCACAGTGATAAAAGCCACAGCTTTCATTTGTTGAGCCCAGAGCACTGTATATACACTGTCTTTAACCCTCACAACACTGAACTTCGGAGAGGCCAAAACATTTTTGCCCAAGGTCACAATGGCATCAGCATAAGAACCTAGATCTGTTAAAATCTAAAACTAGGTATCTTTCTGCTATGCTTCATGACCTCTAGTTTTTTCCTGCCACTACTTCCTGGTTTAAGAAATAATGAAGCACTGCAATGTTTTCCTGGGGAATATCTATCCCATTTCTTTTCCATCTACTCAGCCTCACCCATCCTTTAAGGTGCAGGTGAAATCCTACCCCCTCATGAAGCTTCTCTTAACACTCCCAGCCAACTAGGTTCTGAGCAAGCTTACTGATGCCACTCACTGAGGACTCACTACACAAACCTTGGTTGTGTGTTAACTGATAGTTTGTGTCTTACCTGCCCAGTTAGACTGTACGTTTCTTGAGGAACATTCTGGCTAATCTGTGTGTTCACAGGCTCTGAGTAATAATGATCTATTCTCAGATAATGTCCCATGCATGGGAAGTGAACATCTGCCCAAGAGTGTTGCCACCCAACCCTTGCTTCAGTCATGGAAGCGCCCTTTCCAACAAGGCCTGACCTTCCTGAAAAGCCGGCAGCTACACAGTCTGAACCAGACCGCTGTGAAGGCAGAGAAATGGTCAGGAGGAATAGGGCAGAGAGGCTGGGCAAAGCGGGGTGGCCCGGGGCCGGCCCTTACAGCACTGGGGGATGTCACAGTATTCCCACTGCAGCTTGCGGTCCTTCCACACATGGCACCAAGGCTTCACATCCCCATCTGGATTCCTAGACGATAAAGAGAACACAAGGCTTTAAATCACATTCTCATTCACATCTGAAGCCAATAAGAAAGGAAGGGGGCTCAGTGAACCGATGGCAAAAACATTGAGCTGGGAGTGAGGATCCTGGGTTCTGGCTTGGCTCTGTCGCAGACCCCGCCATAGCAAAACAGCTTTCACTTTAGCAACATGACATTTACATCTCGCAGGGCTGGTGGGAGGAACTGGGAGCTGTGCTGTGGGGAAATCCTGGCAGTCTGTCGGAATAACAGTGCCATGTGGGAGCGGAACAGATGAGGAAAAAATGGCTATGGGACAGGACCTCTGACTTGGGATTTGGGATGGAAAACTGTGGACTTTGCTTTTCATAATAGGTGCTATTCTAGCAAATGAGCAGGCCGGACTATATAATAGCCATGGTTTCTTGCCACTCACTGAGCCTTCCGTATAACTTTAGGCATTAACTCTTCTCCCACCGCATGCCCCAATCTTGTCCTTTGCCCAGGCCTGAGCCCCTTGAACGCTATGCTACATACCGGCAGTAATTGTGTTTGCCCAGGCCCAGGGCCCTGGCGTTGCTTTTCTGCGCCGTATAAATCTTGCCTCTCAGGGCCATGGAATTCCATGGGAGGCAGGAGGTGCCAGACGTGGTGAGGCTGTAGGTGCCACGGTAGTCTAACCCTTTTCCTAAGTAGCAGTCCCCATTTTTTCCTGGAACAGAAGAAAGATCAAACTGAAACAAAACCAATAAAATGCTAAAGCGGGCACGTTGGAGTTTGCAACAGGGCCTGCAATGGAGCGGCTGACCTGGGGAGTTGAAGGCCGGCAGCCTCCCAGTGAGAAGGGGGTGACACCATCCCATCTCCCCTTTTCCTTTTTCTTGAAGCCCTTTGACATAGGGATGGCAAATGGCTTTCTTTTGGCATGTCAACTTCCATCGACTGGATATGGCTTCCTAGATTACTGTGTTGAAAGAGATTCTGAGGGTATATCAGTTCAGCAGGAAAGGTTGCTGTGTTCAATTAGCGGTGATGATTCTTGCAGCTGCTTTGAAAGTAATTATAGGTTTCCTTGTTCGTATTTGACAATGGACCAAGGTACTTTAATGGAGGGACATGTGAGCAGACCCTTACTTCCTAGATCTTGCCTGCCAGTGCTCTGAAGGATTCATTGGGCTTGGAAGAAAGAGACAGTGCTGCCTAATTTTCACCTATTTGTCCCTCTTTTCTCCCCATTTGAAACTGGCAAAATATACCAGTATAATAAATAGTATAATTAGAAGGGATCTTTAAGATCATGTAGACCAATGAGTCCCAATTTAGAGCAGCTCCTGGGAGATGGGGAGGACACTTTAGCATTACTGTAAAAGGTCCTCAAAGTCACAGGTATGCCAGCATTACTTGTAGACTGAATGCACGTTATTTTATATATGTATATTTAGAATTTAAAGCATGTTTTTCATGCTATTGTAATAAGTCACATAATTATTTGTGAAAGCACTGCTGAATTCATAGTATCTTTTGTAACTTAGTATTTTCAAATATGGGAAATTTTCTCACACTAAAAGTTGAGAGAGAGAGAGAGAAATAAGCCCGTCAATCAAAAAAGGGAGAATCCCCATTCATTCTCAAAAGGGCTGGAAACCACAGATGCAGCTGCACCTTCCCCTCTGTAGATGAGGAAACTGAGGGTCAAAGGCATGAAGGGATCAGCTCAAGGTCAAACAGCTAAAGGCCAAGCCTGGGTGAGGACAGAAGTCTCATGACTTCCTTCCCTCTGCAGCCCAAATGATTAACTAGAATCCTACTCCTCTGTCCCCCGAGTTGTAGAAGGATCATCAGCCTGTCCTTCTAGACTTTTCTCCCCTTGACACCGCAGGGGAAGGTGGGGAGGCTGCACTTACCGTTGGAGCAGACGGGCGTGCTGCAGAACTCCGGGCTGTACTTCCCTGCTTTGAAGACATAGCACCAAGGTTTTGAGTCTCTATTTGGGTTTCTGAAAAATCAGGCAGGGAAAGCCAAGGGCCATTAAAAGTGGGACTTCCCTCTCGGGCCCAAAGACTTCACAAGCTCTTCTGGGGAAAGTGTTAGTGTACTTTTGGTTGTGCACAGGGTGGTTCTATCATGTTAGGTAGAAGTACAACTAGGTTATTGTCTTCATTTGGAGATTAAGTGTGGTTTAAGGAGATATATATGCCTGCCAAGTTGACAAGGGGTAGACTGTGATGATTGGTTTTGTGTGTTTACTTGGCCGGGCTCTTATGCATAGTTCTTTAATCAAATACTAGTCTAGGTGTTGTTGTGAAGGGAGTCTGTAGATATGGTTAACTTCTACAATCAGTTGACTTTAAGTAAAGAAGCTTATCTTCAATAATGTGTGTGAGCCTCATCCAATCAGTTGAAGGCCTTAAAGCAAAAGCTGAAAAGAAATTCTGTCTCGAGTCTACAGTAGCAACTCCTGTCCAAGTTTCCAGCTTGCTGGCTGGCCTACAGATTTCAGACTCATCAGCCCCACAATTGCATGTGCCCATTCCTTAAAATAAACCACTTTGCATATACATAAAGCTTCTCACCAGAGGAAAAACTACTCAGTAGAGCGAGTCAGTCCTCTCACCTGCAGTAGTTGTGATTCCCAAGGCCCAGCTTGATGGCATCTGGCTTCCGCCCATTGTAGGTCTTCCAGGTCAGAGCACTGCTGTTCCAGTTGACACATTCAGCCCCACTTTCCGCTGTGCTCCATGTGCCCCTGTAGGTGACACCCTGGTCCTTGTAGCAGGTGGCACTGGCATCTGATTGAAAGCAGGAAACACAACATCTCACATGTGAACTCCCCTTTCATTGAGGTCCTCAGAAGCGTCTCACATCTGCTGTTGTCATTACCCCAAACCCACGAGGCAGGCTGGCTGCTGAAGCTACTGGAGCACAGGAGTTAAGTGGGGGGCTAGGGTCACCCAGCTGACTGGTGGCAGAGCCAGACTCCAGTTCTACACCCATTAGGCCCAGCGCTTTGGTTTCCTAACCAACCCTTGGATGACCCTCCCTGTCCCCCAAGCCCCACCCATACCCGCGTCACCGGGGTAGATTTTCTTTCTGGGTAGATTTGGCAGTTGGGATTTCAGTCCCTCTCTCACACCCACCCACCGACCACTCACCTATTTCACAGAGTTTCCCTGTAAATCCTTCAGGGCACTGACAGACAAAAGCTGAGAAATGCAGAGCTTGCCAGCATGTCCCCCCATTGAAGCACCTCTGTTCGTTGCAAGCTGTTAAGTAGAAACAAGGAAACCCCTCATTACTTTCAAAGTAGCTCCAAAAATAATAGGAGTTAAAATATTAACAGTGCTCTCTGCATGTGAGGCACTATTCTAAGCCCTTTACAAAATTAATTCATTTAATTCTCACAGCAAACCACGAAGTATGTACTACTGTTCTCCCATTTTACAGAAAAGGAAACTGAGGCTTGGCAAGTGAAGGCATTTGCCCAAGGTCACACAACTTTGCTCCTCTTTTGCTCAGCACCTTCACATTTGCCTAAGGCAGAACATGCCTGGAATCTCTGTTTGAAGATTTGAACATGCTTGGGGAGCAATAAAGACAAGGTTTAGGCCAAGAGACTGGACCCGGAAGCTTGAAGCCTCTGTCTGAAGTCCATACATACTTCCGATGGGCACGGAGTGGCACTGGGCCCAGCCGCTGTTGCACCAGCAGTATTCTACCCGGTTGCTTCTGAGCATGGGGCGCAGCCACGACTCACGTTGCTGGTATATCATCAGGGTTTTTTCATCTATGCAGGTCACTATAGAGAAAAACAGGTTGTTTTCTTAGGGCACGACTCACCAAAAACTGTATTTTCTCCAGTCTTGCTGAGAAAATACCCATCTCGCTTTCTGTATAATCTCTCCTTTATTCCTTTCTTGCTGCCCACTGGAAGATGATAAATACCTAATATTTTGCCTCCAAAGATCCCTTTTATTGTTTTTTCTCTGATAGGCCCTTATTTCAAGAGAATTCATCTGTCAAAGTACATTTATTAAGTAATACTCTATTTTTGCATTTTAATTCATCAAAACTATACACGTGTATATAATTACCTACCAGAGTTTTTGAGCCACATGAGTATTACCACAGTGACATGATGCATTCCTGGCCCCAGACTAAGTCAATTGGCATTTTGGTCTGTGAGGAAGACGTGCTACTTCCATTAGTATTTTTGAAAATATAATGAAAGTATAATGAAAATAGTTTAAGTACTCCCATTAATAGCCTTTCTCCCTTTCTGTTTGCAAGTAGAAGGCCACGTTAAAAAATCTTCACTTTTAATTAATTAAAAAGTAACATATGTTCATGGTAAATAGTGCTATGCTATTGTTTCTTTTGATTGTCCATCGGGACTAGGATACCCTTGTCAGAAAGGCTGTGCTATCCAGCAGCGAAGGCATTGGGTTTAGAGTGTGACTCACTCTGGGGAAACTTCCGCTTTAAAAGGGGTGTTGCAAAGTCTTCCAGAGCCAAAGGAACTAGCTCATGAAGGAGCGGAGGGGAGGGCCCCAGGCTGGCAGTGTTGGACTTGAAGCTGGGCCTAGAGATCTTCGAATCAGAGTTAAGACTATCCATTCGGCCATTAGCATTTTTTATGCTTGGGATTCTAACAGAGATGTTCCTCAGGTTTCTAGAATCGGCTCTAGGCTTGGTCTTAAGGACAGGAAGTCTTTCCACAGCGCTTCTGTGAGGTGAGCCAGGCTAGCTATCCTCGTTTTAATACTGAGAGAATGGGAGGTACAGGGACGTTAGTTAACACAGACGCCAGGTGGGGGTCATGGCCTGGAGGAGATCCTGGGGGACCAGGACAGCGCCACCTGGCAGCAGCGTGGGCTTGGGCAAGTCACTGAATCTCCGGGCCATTTTCTCATCTGTGTAACAGGACTTGGCGCCACAGAGCTTGCAGGTTCCCACCAGCTTTATGGCTCCCTGACAGCCTGCCTCCTTGAGGGCGCACCGGCCCGTCTTCTCAGATCCTGGCTCACTCGCTTTGGCTCCCTGGGTGCATGGTGAGAGAGCGTGTGGGGGATAACACGGGCATCTTGGCAGAATTGCCCTGTACAGTGTCACCTTCACATAGCTTAAGTTACCAGGCGGTGGATAGAGATAAATCCCCTGTCAGAGCCTAAAGCACCCTGAGCCCCTGGAACCCTAACCCAGCCTCCTACCTCCATCAACCCTTCGCCACCTCTTCATCTTACCTCTGTTTTCCCTTGTGAATTGCCTGTAGAATCCCTGTAAAGAAACCAGGAGTGGAGAAAGGATCAGTACATGCTGGGTGTCTTAAGAAGAAAGGTAGCTAATCCTGCCCATCAAGCTGCCAATCAGATGCCATCTGCCCAGAGAGTCCCCCTCAGGTTAACTGGCCCCATGTGGAATGTCCATTCTTTGCCCTCTTGCCTAATACTTTCTCCACTTTTAGACCGACGCTGTCCAAAAGAACTTTCTGAATGATGGACACGTGTAATACCTGCGCTGTCCAATATGTAGCTACTAGTCCATGTGGCAGCTGAGCACTTGAAAGATGGCTCATGTGAGTGAATTGAATCTTATATTTTATTTCATTTTAATTAATTTTAAATTTAAATAGCCATAAGTAGTTAGTGGCTCCGGAAATGTGAATCCCAAGCATACCATGCAGAGGGGACTATGCCCGTGTGTTTGGCAGCTCCGCTGGCCCTCTGTCCCTTTGTCTCTCCACTCTGACACCATCCCCACCTTGGGGCTCCTGAGTACCCTGAGGAGCACCTGGAAAGACCACAGCCTCGAGGGGCAAGGCACACAGACATGAACTGCACACTCACCGGCCTGGGCAAAGTGAAGGCCGCTTCACAAAGCAGCAGTACGCACAACAGTTCCCTCTTCACTTTAGTCATCATTTCCGCAGTGTCCCTTAAATTCTGGAAGAAGAGGGGAAAAGGCTTAATCGTGTGATATGAAATTTACAACAAAGTTCAAGAACCTGCAACTTTATCATGGCCAGGCCCTCCAGAACCTGCTCCCTCAGCAGGAAATGCAATGACAAGTGTCTAGAAGACTCTGTGTGTGTGTGTGTGTGTGTGTGTGTGTAAATAATAGTATATATATTTTTTACTGTGGTGGAATACACATAACATAAAATTTAGCATCTTCACCATCTTTAAGTGTACAGTTTAGTGGCATTACACACATGCGTGGTTGCGCAGCCATCACTGCTGTTTCTAAACTTTCATCTTCCCAAACTGAAACTGTACTCTTTAAACAACAGCTCCCCATTCCCCTGGCAACCAGCATTCCACTTTCTGTTTCTATGACTTTGACTACTCTAGGTACTTGATATAAGTGGAATCACAATATTTGTCCTTTTCCATCTGGCATATTTCACTTAGCGTAACAAGCTCAAGGTTCGTCCATGTTGTAGCGTGTGTCAGAAATGCCTTTGTTTGTACGCTGAGTAATGTTTGTCTACATAGACAACATTTTGTTTATCCATTCACCCATGGGTGGCCGCAGGTTGCTGGAAGATGATTTTGTCCAGAGATTCCTATGGGCTCAAGGGTGAGACCATCTCTGGCACTTCTTGGCAGCCCAAGGACCATGGTGAGCTGGTTTGGTTTCCCTTGAAGTAAATTCCTGCCCTGGTGTTGACTAGGCAGAGCCATAGTAATGTCCCCTCTCTGACCTTTTAGAAGAAACCGTAGGGATTTTATTGCTGACACATCACAAACCCAGCCCACCTCAGATTGCTTCATGACCTCCGTGCTTCTTTGTCTAACAAAGATAAGGCCCCTGCAGGCCAGCCCTCCCATCTCCCCACGGCTCCATTGGCCTGTCTGTGTCTTTATAAACAAGCCTGACAAAGTGCAGACATGCAGAAAGGAGCAGAGGTGTCTGGTATTAGTCATTAAACTCAGATATTCCTGGACCCCAAATTCCCAGCTTTCATGTGCCTTTTCCCAGTGATCTTGCTCTCAGCAGCTTCGAGTAGGTTAGTTGGTGGGGGTGTTTGTTATTCTGTGGTCTGGCAGGCCCACCCACTCCTTCATCCATAAGAATCAGATTAGGGCATTTCTTCCCTTGACTCATTTCCCTTCAGTCACAACAACTTTTGGTCCCACCCCTCCCCCTTTATCCAAAGGATCCTAAGCATCCTGTCCCTTTAGAGGCTTCTAGGACTTTCGTCCTGGCCTGGATCTGGCTCTGGTTTCTTCTTTATTTGCAAAGAACTACCCTGGTGGAAGGGCCATTCCCCTCCCATGGTCCCAGGCTCCCTTCAGAGCACGCATAAAAAATAAAGGGTGGGAGGGGCGACGGGAGACTGCTTAAGCTCCAGCCATTCTTTCTGGGATGTGAGTGGCAGTCAGAGGAGGGAAACCGGGGCTGGAGGACCTGGGGGGGTGTGCAGCAGGGCCTGGTCAACAATGAATCCAACTCAAGGAAACCCAGGCTGCAGGCTCAGAGAGCCTTGCCAACTAGCTCACCCCTCCCCCACCTCCCCTTACCTGCTGTGAAGGGAGCAGAAAGAAGGTTGGGGTCTGGGCCTTTGTTTGTATTTGGCACACCCAAGGCCCCCTTCCCCGGGCAAGATGAGCTATACTCTTTGGGGGCCTTTTTCCTAGAGGAGGAAGCTAGCTACTGTTCACTGGTTTCAGGCAGTTTCAGAAGAAAGCAGCGGGCCATCCAAAATAGGAGTCCATGACAAAGTCTTCTGAACACAGGGAATTGCTCTGGATTTTCATTCTCAACTGTCCTTAAATTTCCCCAAATTCCTCCTATATTTTCTTTCTTAATTTTATCTCATTACTTACAACCTTTAAAAACAGATCTTCTTAAATGCGTTCCCCTCTTTCTTTCTGACTATAATCATTTTCACATATTTATAGATGGTCCCATCCTTTATTATCTTAGTTGGGCCTTGGGGATAGGTAGACCTCTCAAGTCGGGGACTTTATGCAGAAATTCTGAACGAAGCAAGGAATGAATGAATGAATGAGTAAATGAACCACCAGCCAAACAAGGAAACTAACTTGCATCCAGTCTTTTTAATATTCTCATTCACCCAAGTCCGGGGGATTAGTGTAATCTTTTCTCTGGATACCTGCCAAGTTACTTCAAGAACTATTTAAGGTTTTATTTCAAGTGTTATTTTAAGGTTTTATCTTTAAGTTTTATTTCAAGAACTCACCATCCTCCTAAACGGAACACAGTTCTAGACGTTGGAAATTGCCAAGTGAAAAGTGAAGTGTTACATATTTGTATTTCCCTGGACAAGTGGAGGGAGGGGGACCAAATGCCAAGGAGGAGCCCAACTTAGAGCTGGGTGCAAAGACTCCAACAGCTGACTCATGTTAAACCCCTTTGCAACTAAAAAATCAGCACAAGGGGGAAAGGAGTATATTTATGTCTTCTGCTCCTGGGAGAATTAGAGACTTTCTCTCTTCCCATCAGTCCTTATCTTCCTCTGCCTCTTTGCCTTGCTGGGTTTTGAGCTGACCCAGTGCAAATGCATCTCACACAGAAAAACAATGTGATAGCTCCATCCTCACTGCATAGAGGCAATGGGAGCAGCTGAACGGGCTGAGGGATAAGAGAATGGCAAAGGCATTAGTCACCCCTCCAGCAAACAAGCAGCGCAGCCCCAAGACATGGGAGAAAGGGAAAAGGGAGGATGTGTCCTCATTTTCCTTTGTTGCAGAGGTGGGTTGGCGGTGTGGGCCGTGCCCCGACAAGGAGAAAGTAAATACCAGAAGTGTGGACTCACACTCGGGACCTGTGGGACCCACGCCAGGGGACTGCCACACAGAGGACACAGGCTCCCACCAAAGGGAGAAGTGCCAGGTGCTGACGGTGAGGCTGGGGTGGGGGGTGAGACAGGAGGAAGAAGTGTAGGAAGGACTTCTGAGGCTCTTATAAATAAAAAGACTTGTAATTTAAAAAATATGCGTTTTCTTCCTTTCGTTATATTCAGTGGTTTCCCAGAATCAAAGAAGGAAAGAAGCAGGGGAAGGAAAGGAGGGAAGAAAGGAAGGGACGAAAGAAGGAAGGAAGAGGAAAGGGAAGGAAGAGAGAGGAAGAGAGAAGAGAAAAGGAAAAAAAAGAGGAAAAGGAAAAAAAAGGAGGAAAAGAAAAAGAAAATCTCTGAGGAGTCTTGCTTTTGTTCGACTGGACTCTGAATCACTGGAAGAGTCGCGGCAGGAGCGGGGCGATGGGATGGCCATAAAGCCTGCCACCCCACGCTTCCAAGGTTCCAAGGCTCCAGCCCTGGCAGGCACGCCCTGGCTCACAAAGTTCATTTTTGCAGATGTGCAAAAGGCACTCTCTCTGGTGGATGGAGTTCAGTACACTACAGGGCTTGGCAGGCTGACAAAGACTTCATGCAAATTAGAAAAAAATAGGGCACATGACTTGGCAAATTAAGCATGGCCTGGATTCCAAGGATGCAAGGGCAGGCAGCCTCCTGCACGGCTCCGCCCAGTGAGCTCACTTCGCCTGCTTCCACAGCATCTCTGACCTTCCTGTCTGGAAGCCCTGCAGGGTCCTGCTGACTGCAGCAACTGAGCAGCTCTGTTGCTTGGTCCCTCGAAACAAGCGTGAATGATGACTGCTCTAGGGAACAACGGGAACAGTGGTCTGGTAACCAGAGGGTTACTGTCCTTGAGCCCAGGATGCGAGCCATTCTGGCTGAGAAATCAATGAGCATGCCAGCGAGAAACTCAGTGTTCATCCCTGCAGCGGCAGCGTGGGGATGGGCTGGGTGAGGTCAATGAAGTGGAAGCAGGACAGCTTGAGGAAGGGCCTGGGGAACAGCAGAGGAAGTGTTGTCCTCAGTGCCTTTACATTCCCTTTGCTTTACCTCTTCCCTTCATTGTCCTCCTACCTTCTCCATTTTCCCTCAGAGAATTGTGCTCTCAGGAAAGGGACTGGCACACTCATTCACATTGGGTTAAAGTGACTGAATAAAAATGAACGCGCTGCCCTTCCAAAAGCATCTGTGTTGTGAGACATAAAAATCTATTCCCAGAGATGCAAAACCAAGTGGGTTCGACTTTCAAGTTTTCCTCCAGGGCTAACATTCTGTGGTTTCTGTTGTGAGAACAAATGATATAATGAGTGTACACATGCTGTGGAAACTGTAAAATACTTATAAATGGGTATAAGTATTTTTATTTAAACACTCAACCACCTGCTATGAAGTGATTTGCGATAAAAAGACTGTACAAATATAGTCAATCGATCAGTCAAGTAATATGATTCTAGGTAAAAAACAATGCAGTTGCTCCAGATGTTATAGAACCAGAGGATTTTAGTTTCTATTTTTGCCTAGAAGAGGCAAATGGATGAGTAAGGTAGAAGAGGCTGGAAATTGCAGGGAAAAGACAAAAGTAAATTGATCCTATGATCAAATTTAACAACGTGTGCAAAGTTTGCAATCTGAACCTTTGGTAAAGGAGATTCTTGGGTTATTATTGTGTTTTTCTCTGGGAATCTGAGTATAAGAAAGTCAGTCTGTAAGACGACCAAATACCCTAAAATGACTCATGGCTTTAAAACCAACAACAGCCTCCCTCCACCCTCCAACCACCATGGCCCAGAATGGGTGCCAACAAATGAGAAAAGAAATGGTCAGAACTCCTTGGAACAGCAAAGGCATGCCACTAGAATAAGGACAAGAGACAAGGTGAGATGGGTGGAGGAACCAGGCCTCAGAGAAGGTGGGGAGCTCCCACGAAAGATCACTTTTGTCTGAAGCAGAGTCAGAAACTGGGACAGGAGCCAGAAGCCTGGTAGCTCTGGTTCTATTTATACAGGTCCTGCTTTTCATAGAGGCCATGATCTTGGAATAAAAATCAATGTCAAAAACGGCCATCATATAAGCAATTCTTAACCTTTTTTCTTTTCAAGATTTTATTTATTTATTTTT